TTTCAACCCTGATAGATATTATTGGCACCTAAGAATGTATTTATCAAAGCAGTAACTTTAGGGTGGTAGAAGTGCCATAAGACTCAAGTCTCAACAGGACTGAGTTTCTTCCCTCTCCCGAGTTATCGGGAGGGACTCTGTGTTTAAAGTTTATTGTTTAGTTTGTGTAAATGTGAAACAAGAAAACCGAAGGTCACATTTCACTCTCAAGGAAATCAAACTTGTGAGCCTTCTGACCTGTTCACATACCAAACTCCAAAGTCTCAGCCCTATTACTCAATCTTTGTCTACTGCTCTTCTGGACCTGCCATTTGAAGAATAAAACCTTTCAAAGAACATAGCCGCTAAGACAGAAAATCACCATTCAGAGAAAACTGTCTTAAACACTTGGCACAGATGACTTTGATGGTTAGCAAGATATCAAATCTGACCTACAGGGCCCCAGCAACAAGATAAGCACTAAAAAGGAGCACACTTCCCAGGGCTGCAGGATATTGGACATTTTCAAAGAATGTAGAGATTCCATTTTTAAGTTCTGTGCAAGTATATTGCATTAGTAGGGTATGGAAGATGCAAAAGTGAGAGTTATCCAAGTCATTTAATGAGTTTTTCCAGAAAAATTACCCTGAAAATATAGGCAAAACAAAACAAACGAAAAAAGAAAAAGGATGTTTGCAAGAAAAATGATTCCCCAACACATGACATGATAGAAATTGTTACTTTTTCATGGATTTCATTCTTCCATTTAGTGTCATCTCTATTTAACTAATATTCACTTTGATTTTAGCCAGGCACTCATAGACTGCTATTATGTCACTTAACATCAGAAAGAGATACAGAACGGGATGTCTGCTCTGCACTGCTGATACTGAGGCTTCTCATGACTTAATCTCAGCAGTGTCACATGGATATATGGAAAAGGACAACGAAAATAAATGATCCACAAGTAATAGCCCATATTTCCCATCATTCTTACCTGAAAACATGCTGAGATAAAAAAATATCAGAGACATCCTCTTTCTGTCACTCTGCACAACATCTTGGAGATCGTGCAGTAAAATACCAAAATATACAAAACATAAATTATGGCTGCAGACTCTTCCCATCCAGAGATAGAAAGGGGGTAAGCTCTCAGAGCAATTTTGAATTATTCAGTTTTGTAAGTATTAATATATGGACCTAATCTACATTCACTGTTATCCAAATTACCTTTTGCTGAAGGAACAAGTTCTGGCTAATGAGGAGAAACAAATGAAACTCACAGAAAAATAATTAAAGCTGGCAGTTGGAATGGGAATTGGAGTCAGCACTGCCTCATGCGCTGTGTTGAAAATACATTTATTCTTACAGTAACCCTGCTTCTTCATCCATAGGGTGGAGATAATAAGACTCACCTAACTTCTTACAGTATGCTACTAAGATCCACAGATAAGCTCTTGGAATTACTGTGACTAATATTAGACACACTTAGCATGTTTTCTTTTTAGTTCAAAATGGGTTTATAGATCGCATTTCTGATCTACTCAGTGTTTTGGGGGATCCCTTTTCTAGATGTCATCCAATTTATTCTTAATTTATTTACAACACTCAGGCATACTCTTTGCCATTAACATTAATTCTGTTTTACAGCATAATAGCTTTATGAGACTCTGTTCTCTTTATGATGTGGGAACACAGTAGCACAATGATTCAACAAACACCCGTTTTACCAACCAGCCAGATTTAACAGGCTATTTCTTGTTGTATCCTATAAACACAACCAGGAGCCAATCTGATATTTAATGATGCAAATCATAAGCAGAAGTACTATTTTCTGCCAAGATATAATATGTGGAGATTGCAAAAGCTTGTAGTGGAATTTCTGTAGAAAAAATATACTGTATGGAGGTTTCGGAGATTTTCCTTTACGGGAATCAAAACCAAACATGTTTACTATGAAAAGCAGATAAGTAGATTCATTAAAAAAAACCCTGAAGATATTGACAGGATGAGAAAACACTTCACCTTTTCTCTTTAATCCATGGAAGATATTTGCAACTAACTGCACTGAAGGAATTTTATGATTTAGAAGACTTACTCCTTGATAGCTTTTACGGGAAAATCGCAGAAGAGGACTCACAGAATTAATATCCTTTTCTGTCATTTTTCTTTTATTTTTAGCAAATTTTGAGAAGCCCTTTATCCCATGCTCATACAAGTGCAAGTGAATCTCAACATTTATCCTCTCCAGAAAGAGTATAATGGGAACATATATTTAATACTCATTATCAAAATAAACCCCAAATTTCAAAACCAACCTCATTTTTTGGGTTCCCAGTAATTGTGACCTGACTCACAATTGCTAGGTTCTTAAAGCTGAAATACTGGATCACTGGAAATGTTTCAGTACTACAGAAATCTGCTTTCTCCTGAACAATGTGACATCACTATAACCAATCCATGTGCTGGAATTCACAATTACACTGACCTATATTTCTGAGATACTGTGGTCAAAAATTATGGCCAAAATGTGTATCTCTTCCAGATTGTGTTACATTTATTTCTTCAGTTTTATTCATCTTTATACTTTTGTTATGGTCAAAATGTGTATCTCTTTCAGATTGTGTTACATTTATTTCTTCACTTCAGTTTTATTCATCTTTATACTTTTTGTACAACGATGTGGTAGAACTTAGGAAAACCTCACACTGTCGTAGAAACAAATATTCTATTTGTTCCTTCAGCACAGACTAAAGATGTCTCTGTCAGTATTAGAAAGTCTGTCCATATCAGTCATTCTGCCAGCATTAAGATACTAAGAAAAAAGATAAGGGTCCGTTCTAAAGGCCACTGAAGCAGAGGAAGTCTTTCTATTGACGTCACGTTCCTTTTGCATGAATTAGAACACAAAGAATAGGTTCCCGTGCCAAATTCTGTACTTCTTTATGTGCACTCATTTTTATTGAGTAGACTCAATGAAGTCTACTGGACTGTCATTCCTGCAGCCTTTAGACAACTTTTACCTTACTTTATACAGTCTTTCTGGGCAAGTAGCCAGCTTGTCATATATTATAAAGGAAAGCCTTTTTGTCTGCTAGTCTGAGTTTATTCCTTCGTTTCATTCTCTTATTTACTGTACTTGTCCACCAGATATGAAAAGTTCAGTCCCCGGTTGGAGATTCACCCTTTGGAAGTGACAAAACTGGCAATGACAAGGCCCTGCATGTTTGTCTACAGGAGTACATCATTTAGGGGCATAATGTTTAGGGAGAAAACAGACTGCTTGCCAAATACCCTAGGCTCAGCTCCCCTTTGAAATCTTGCCAAATCATTGGGAAAAAGCACTGACTTGACATGAGACATTGCCAGACCAGATGGCGACCAATGGCTGAAGCCAACAAAAGTTACAGAGAGTGCCGTGAGGAATGGCTGGATTTCATGGATGATTAAAGGGAAGTTATGTGAGATATGGCCTAATACCACACCAGACAGAGGGGGAACCGGGGGGACCCTCTGCACAATCTTGCAAGCCAGAAGCACCTAGTCCTTCTGTTGTTTTAGGCCAAAACTACATGGGTAACAGTGTGACGAACACTTAATTTGGATATGGGTGTAGAAGAATGTGGATGAAGGGTGATTGTTTACTTTGGGGGAGACCTGGGCAGGGATAAAGGGAGTTACAAGGGCAGCAAAGAGGGAAGTCACGGAATAGCACGGTATCTGTAGGTCAAAAGATGATATAATCGGGGCTGTCCAGGAGCACCTGCAAGACAGCCCAACTTAAACCTGGACAATAATCCAAACTTGCTGTTCCACTCATACTGTGTGTGTCTCTGGCCTACTTGCATGGTTGGGAGGGCCAGGCAGGACGGTGTCTTCCCTGGCCAGCAGAGGAATATCCCAGCCAAATGGTTGAGCATCTCAATCCAGGCTTGATAGCAATTGCATCTTCCCAGCCTTTATACAGCACATACTGCCAGCAGGTATTCCTCTCCTAGGAACAGTACGTCATCTCTCATTATTTTTATCTGCCTCTAGTCAACATATGTATGCTGGCAGAACCACCAGAAGTCACTTTGCTGCCTTGTCACAGTGAAGGAGTTAATTCCTTCAATTCAGTGAACAGCAAAATATGTAGCAAAATGCATTTGCACATCCTTTTCATAAAAATACTGCCCAAAGTTATTGCATTCTTACATTGAAAGCCATTTTTACAACAATAGAGATTAGGTGAAATCAAGAGTTTTTTTTTTTAAGTCTGTTTTTAATTATTTAAAGTAACTATTAGCTTTTTTTTAATAAACCAGACACTGTTTCTCCTTGTAGATACTACTGTCTTTACACACTGCACACATATTCACCCTTAAAAAGTATATGTAGTGCCTTACCTCAGAGGTAAAAATACAGAAGCAAAGGTCCCTAACTCCAAGTATATACTACTGATGCCAGTCAGTAAAATAACAGAGACTTAGATCTAAAAGAGATGCTAGATGGACTTCTGAATTTTTGCTTCAAATATCAAGTGAGATAAGAGAGAAGTGTTTGTCTACAGCAGCCAATATCCTCAAAGATAAAAGGCAACTTCTAGAACTCTTAAGAGGAAATAGAGAAGGAAGGAAAAAGGGGCTTGTTCACTGAGGAGAAGGCTTAATAAAATCCAGAGACCAGCTTGCAAGAAGCCATCTGACTGGCTCCACACCAAGACATTTACAGTGAATATAAGCCTGGAGATGTACTGCCTCTTGCTCGTTACAGGGTGTTTATGAAAAGCTGTTCCATTTTCTCAAGGACTGCAGCTAAATCTCCACTGAATAAGCACATCCTGCATTCATATCACATTTGCATATATAACACAGGAAAGCATTTTTAAATGCTCTAAATGCAAATAGTTGCACAAGCAGTTTAACAGTGGCAAATCCAGCCACTCCTAACCAGAATCTGGGCTTTTTGATGTTGCCAGTTGCCAGGATTTTTGTTGTTTGGTTTAGCAGCCCACTAGAATATATAACAATACAATATACCCTTTTTCAATACTCTCTCATGGAGAGGAATATTTTTTAAATAGTGCATTTTTAATAGTAATAAGTTTTTAAGCTGCTGAAGAAAAAGCTCAATTTGCCAGGGTTCTGAGGGATTTGTGCATCACTGAAGTATCCAACAGTTTGGAAGTGAATCAAAATATTCAGTATCAAAAATCATATTTACAAGCAAAATAAAGCAAGACACCTTGCACACCTTTTATGAATGTGCTTTGAGGAGAACTTCTAACATGCAAATAAAATAAACTGTGTTTTTTATTTGAATTTATTGTATCCCAATAAATTTTAAAATCAATGAAATCAGATGGAAAGAAGTTGCACTGATTTCTTAAAAAAAAAAAGCAAAAAGAAATCTGTATTTATGGGAAAATACTCTTTTGTAATTGCTGGAAGCTGTAACCATACCCCTCCAGATTTTTTATGTGAAACTTGAATCCCATTTGGGACCCATACATCACATTTTGTAGCTGTACGCAACCATACTCCAGGAATGATCGCTCTTCACAGTGACTATCCAGACTCCTGCTTTAGATGGGTCTGTAAAGATAGGATTCCTAACCAAAATACTCCGATTTTGCAGAAGCAAAAATTGGCAAGAAATTCAATCCTGAATCATCGCCTGATTCTGTTCCCATTTAAGTGAAGAGAGCTTCTACCTACTGTACATATCCTTTCCTCGAGAAGCAGAACTAGTTCAAGGCTGCAAGCAGGGTAGGCAGCAGCCTGGAGGAGGAAACTGCCCCCACTGCCCAGGAGAAGAGGGAGCACAGTGCTCACCTGCAATTCCCTAGCCCTTCCTCACGCTCTGTCTCACAGCTTATGTGCATTGATTGAGATAAAGGGCTTCATTTCAAATTTTACCAAGATATGCGTACACGTTATTTAAAAGTTTCAGCTGTTTTGAAACATTCTTCCCTCTGATAAAATCTGTATGACAAAGCAATTCATCTCCTGAATAAATCTTCTTTACATATTCACCATGTGAGGCTCACTTGGTGCTGGGAAATAATTGTTTCTTTCAATATTCCTTCCCAACTGAAGGATATTTGGTTATGCTTTGTTCTCTTATTTAAATCCGCATAAAACAATCCTAGGTTGATTTCAATGCCATATGGCATAGATTTCTTCCATAAAAGATGACACTGACATTTTTCTCTCAGTGATTCGAGGGAATATTTAAATATGTTATATAAAATGAAGAGCTTGGACAGGAATACTGGGAGACCCCACCATGGATCATGCCATCTACCTACAAGGAGCCAGACTTCAAATCAGAGAGAGGAGGAGAGACCAGAATACAAATGACTCAGTGTGCACCCTCTGTTCTGCTGGGCATGGAGTATTTCCTCCTGTTTTTATAGGAGAGACACCAACCTGAATCATCCTGTTGCAGAAATAATGCTGCAGATATTAATTTTGACGTGCAGAAGGACTGATGTTTAGTCAAATTCTCTCCTACCTTTTGAGATGGGTGGGAGTGGGGTGGGAATCAGGTTCCACTTCTTTCCAAGGTATTTCTCATTCTGGATAATCTGAGCAGGTCCATTTGTAGATGCCATGTGCACTCCTGTCAGCCATCCCAGAATCAGTTGTCAGACTCTCTAGAATACGTTTACACATCAAAACCTTCTTGTATTTATCAGTGAAGAACTACCCTTGCATATTCAGTGTTCCAAACAAATCACTGGTTCCTCCATGTCACGTGCAAGAGCCCAGCTCTTCCAAAAATACAGGTAAAGGCTATAGTCAGTTTAGTAGGGATTTTTTTTTTCTCATTTCTCCTTCTTATAGTCTCCTAAAGCTTCAGAGTCAGGAAATAGAAAGAAATCAGTGAGTTTTCCTAAGCACTTCTGTTGCTGAAGTATCACTTGAATGGCTATGATGTGTGATTCACCTCACTTGAGTCTATCCGTGTCCTCAGCATTTAGAGATTTTCCAAAAGATTACACTTCCTTGGAGTTGTTTCTATCTCCAAATCAGAAACTTTAAATGAAAATCTGGTATTAGCAAATTCTTAGTCAGAAGGTGTAAAGAGCATTGGTGGCTTTCAAAACAAACAGCAAAACAATCTCCCATATTACACAGAAGATAATCTTACCAATAAGGAATAAAACTTAAGAGGAATTCATTGGTCAGAAGTCAGTGGAATTACTAGGACTTCATTCAGCATTTTTATATGATAATCATTTTTCTCAAAAAAAAATTGTACATTCAACCAGGATGAATGCTAAAGACGCCACAAAAGCCCTTTTAAGGACTCTTACTTCGAAGTAATACTCTTGGATGCTCCTTTTTCCCAAAAGGGAATACTTTCCCAAAACAGGGTCTATTGTGAAGCCCTTAGGGTTTCCGTGTTTTAGCAATGCTCAGTCCCCAATCACTTGAATTAATTCTGATTTGCAAATATAAGCCTTTGGGTTTTGCATATTTCTACAGCTGGTTGCAAGAATTTAACTTCAATACAAAGCTACATTACTGAGTACGTGCAAACATTCTTATCCCTTTTCTATACAAGCATTATAAGCCAGTCTGCTGTTAGAAAGCCTGGGTTTGTTAATCTTGCCAATACCCTGTACTATGTCATGTGCTGTTCAGCAAGAACCATGGGCAACCACACTGTCTCAGCTGATAAGCTATAAATGTTACAGAAGTCTTTCCCATCTACACCTCCTGGTAGTTAAGACACGAAGTCTGCCACTATTGTAATTCTCTTTGGAAGAAGAAAAGCAGCAAGTGCTAATTAAGTGAGGTGCCATGGTACAGCAAAAGTCATTCAGAATGAACATTCAAGTGTGAAAGACAGAAAGGTTTCCTTCCTTTCCAAAAAAAGTATAGAGCAAAGTTAAACACTGAATATCTCTGAAATAGTAAAATTTGCATGCATTTTCACAGATTTATGCATACAAATGAAACAATCTTTTAGCCTTATTTTAAAGTCAATTGCATCTTCAGTGGGATCGCCGCATTTTGCTGTGCCCGAAGTTTATGTAAGCATTTAACTTCAGTCTGGCAGTGGATTTAATCAGTTTGTCCACAAGGACACCATAGCAGGATGGATACAACTAATTTCTGTGATGTGTGACCACAGTTTATGATAAAGGGCTTTAAGGCCAAGTGAAGTAGTGAAGGAAGAAAGTTTGAAAGGATTTTCATCTTTTAGGATTCCATATAAATTCTGGAATGCTGCAGGATATCTATTGGGACTAGCAGAGCATGTCCTACATGATCAAAGTGAAGGCTTCGTGGAGCAGGACTAAAGGAGAATTTCTAGTTGGTGTATATCTCCTGCAAATCCAGGCCAAGTTACGCTTGTTTCAAGCCACCATACTAGGTCTTAGTGTATCCCACCTCTGCCTTCAGCTAAAACGTTTTTCCCAATATCAAGTTCTCTTGTTGCAAATGAAACTCCTGCGGTCTTGTTACATCCAAAGATTGTTGCATTTCCCTTCCCTTCGCAGCTACCTTCTGGGCACTCCATGGAAACTATTTTCACGTTTTTTTCTTCCAGTCTCATTTATGCAAAACGAAGCAGCTACACATCACTCACCTTTACGCAGAGCTCAAGGTTTCTATTTTTTCTTGTTTTCATCTAGATTCTCTTCTAATGCTCAGTGTCTCTTTTGAAATACTGTGCCCAAAACTGGACTGAGTTCTCTGATTGGAACCTCAGCAGAACTATGCAGTAATGTAAATGTTTTTCAGTCATTGTCAAGGGCCATCTACACATTAACCCTTCTGGACACTTTGGAGTATATCTGCTTCCATTTTTAAAATAAACAATGCTGAAATCACACCGCTGGAAGAATAAAAGTGCCCATTTGCACTGCTCACCTGGAACAGCTACTCTATCTCAAATTTACAGCTGATATTATTCCAAATCAAATTTTAGTCCTGTTTTCTTGGTCAATATATGCAAACAAACACACTTAGGCACCTCCTTATTTTAAACTCAATGCCTAGCTCTAAAGTGAATAGAATGGTGCTATTTTTATTTTTATTTATGATTTCTAGAGGTCCTTTCCAACCTTAAGCATTCTAGGATTCTGGTTTTTTTTTGCAGTTATTGAAGCCAGAGTGAGGATGAAAGCAGTTAGTGTTTCTGAAAGCAAGACTTAGCTTTTCCGCTACCTAGAAGATAAATGTCACATTTTTATTATTGTTTTATTACTGTTCACACAAGAATACATTCAAATGAAGTCTGAAATGTCTTTTATGGGAATAAAGAGTATATCATAGCACCAGTTTTTATTCACAGCACAGAAAAGGTCAGCATGCAAACATAATGTGCTAGAAATTGATCTGCTCTGAGTCCAGTCAAATAAAGAAACTAGCTCCTAAAGACAAAGATTATCTTTTATGTTTTACCTACAATATTCTACACATTAAGACTTGATTCAAAATGTTAGAAAGAAAAATGAGAAATTAGGTAAAATAGAAACATTATCTTTCATGAACTCCAATCCTTTTCTATATAAATCAGAGCCTAGAAGTAAATTGTAAAATTACCTATTACTCTTTCTCTCTTGTATATATATATTAAATGAATATTCAGATTACATTATCATAAATTATCTTTTTTTTGTATCAGTGAAGCAATAATTTTTCAGGCTGTGTGAATGCAACTTCATAATTCTCAAGAACAGTTTGGTCAGTATAATCCCTAGTTTTTGTGAGACAACAAGTTTTGCAAAATTTTTTGTCAGAAATTGGGCTCTTTTAACAACATACAAAACATAGAGCTATAAATGAAATGATCTGGAGACTGATCACCTCATAAAGGCATGATTAGCATATTTTTCTTCCATAAAACATCTAAAATCTTCAGGCGGATGGAGAAGGAAAACTGAAAACTAAGAGCAGTATGCATTTAACTGCTTGCACTTAATGTGAAGGTTTGTAACTAAGAGCACAACTGAGGTGTATGTAAATATGTGAGCAATTATTGTACCTGCAAAATATCTATGGTGACTTAGTTAATTTTACATGTTTATGGA